GAGGTATGGAAACACATTCTCTCCCATTGAGTTTAATAATTGCAATCCCAGTGAATTGTTGGGGAATTGGAAACGTTTTACTGAGAAAGAAATAAAATAAAATAAAAAAAAGGAGAGAGAACTTTAAGAGGCCGAAGTTTCCGCCTGATAAGTGCAGACGATAAGATACACGAGGGTGTTTGCGGTTGCCGGGGGTGCAATCAACGCTCTCGACCGGTGATTAATGCTCGCGAATTTTCGAGGGAAGAAAAATGTTGGAAGCCCTTCAAGGGAAATTGCATTAAATCGGGAAAAAAAAAGAAGGAATTCGCAGGGGTGGGTCGGATGAAAATGAGGGAGAATTGAAACCGGTGAAACTTTTTAAGGGCGATATAATTAAAACATCGTTTGTAACCTAAACCATGCTTATTCTTTTCAGAGCGCTTCAACATTGTAAATCGATAAACAATGACATGATGATATTCCTCTTCAAGAAAACAATTACCTAATACCTTACGATTGTAGCTGGGTAAAGAGTAATCTAACGTTGATGGAACCAAATCCTGATGTAATCAAAACTTCTTTCAAATCAAACATTTGAATCCAAAATTTGAAACAATGAATGTTGAACATAATTCGTTCCAAAGTCTGAAATTCTTTTCAGAAACTCATATGAGAATGTAAACTATAAAAATCTTCAAGATAATGTATAAGTAGTGTGAAAGCCATCTTAATTACTGAAGTTAAAACTTCATATTAAGAATTTAATCAACATTTACGAACATATTATTTAAAAAATATGGTTCAACAGTTTTTTTTTGCTAATATTGATTATGAAGCAATTACCATTTTTGTTAACGGCTGTTTATTTCAATTCAGCATCATGGCCGTCGCTGCCGCCGTTTATGTTGTTGACTTAATGATGGTGGAAAGAACGAGTTAAGAGGAGAGAGAGAAAGGAAAAAAAAAGAGAAGCAAAAGGAAAGCGAACAAGTTGAATTTCCTCAAATGGAAAATTAATTATTTTCCTGATGATTCGCGATAAAGACTGAGCACTAACAGCACAGAATGCACCCCATCTGTTATGATACGGTTATGACGCGGGTTTTTAGCATATCTCTCAGCAGCATCTTCAGATGAATACTTATAGCAGATAACTTGTATATGTATATGTAAGTGCAGACACTCACTCGTACTCGTTCACGTGACTCCTGTGAATGCGTTATGTGAATTAATTACGGTTAAACGGTATTTCCTTGAGACAAGCCATTAATTCTCCGGTGACTACTTTTGAGATAACTTTATGGTCTTTTAACCAACACCACGTTTTATAATGTGAAGCAATAATAAAGAAACAAAAATTATATGCGTTGATGATGAGGACAGGTGATGCAGACAGGACGCATTTCATTTAGAGAAAAAAAATATACTACCGAAGTCTCGTAATCTAATTGTCCACATCGTACCGTTTCCAAATTTCCAATTTGCTCTTCTCCGTTAATACAGTTGTTGCCTAACGAATCAGTGGTTTATCTTTTAATGACGTTTTAATTGCGTTATAAGATGCTCGCAGATTCTTTCAGGATAGAACTTGACTTAGATTGGATTTAAATTGCTTTCGGGGAATAATTCTATCAAATACAGTCAGTTTAAAAACAATAATAACTAATGGAATTAATACATTTAAAATTATAAATCATCAAATTATTATAATAAAAATACATTAATTTAACAAAATATAAATAAAATATTCAAACATGTGAAATTTCTTAATTTGAAAGTAATAAGTTATTAGGAAATGTATATTTCATACATGTTCTTTCTCTAATAAAACTGGTATTGGTCATCATTCAAAATTAATTGATTGTGTATAAAAGAGTGAATAATTGATGATCAGCGCTTCGGATATTATTCACTATTATAGGTAATTAATTGATTGGGAAAGTTAACACTAAAAGTCATGTAGCAGATGTCAGGCTATGGAAACACATGGAGAGAATTTGCATATATTAGATTCTATTATCGACTGTAAATATATATTCTTTATAATAATTTTGCTAAAATTTGAGCATCTTCCATAACTAAGAAAATTTTATAAATTTATTATAAAACTGAAATATATAATAATTATAATAAGTTTTCTTTATTATTCTTTTATATACAGTTTATAAATAAATATTGAAATATTTTTGTTCCATCATTTCAATAAATATCATTAATTTTATGAATAGAATTGATGTTTTTTTGTTTCATACACTATATACTAATTATATAATAACACACGGTTATTTACTTTAAAACGAAATGTGCAAATAATTAATTAAAAACAAAGTAATTATAGGTCCGAACCGCATTCAGTTCATGATATAATTCACTTACGTAGTTTAATTGAAACTATAATTAAAAAAAAAAATGCGAGCGCGTATTTATAAGCGAAATAAACACGCTCCATTGTTCGGAATAATCTCGAACTGTTTCGAAATCGCAAAGCTCCCCCACAACACACGGGTCACAGGAATTTCACAATTTTCTCTATTTACTCCGCTCGCGATACAATTACGCAATATTTATGAAAATTACGGAAAGCGCAATAAAATCGCGTAAGGACAATACGTCGTAAAGAAGAATTTTTTTTTTTAAGTATTCTTTTTTCGATGTAGGTGCTGCTGCTGCTGTAGTTCGCGCACATTTTTAATGCTTGTTTATGCTATGGCTTTGAGCCTCATTATTTCTGCGCTATTTTCCCATAATAAAAGAAACAATAACTCGATAGATGAGGTGCATTACGCAATTCGAAAATAGAAAAACGATTATTAAATGGTAACGAAACCGCGACGCGGTTTCATGATCTCGTACATCCTTTCGCTTTCCCGATTGGTCGTTCACCTCGCATCCATCTCTCATCTATGAAGAACGATGAGTGATCTCCTCTAGCTGAGATATCCTGGTTGATTTTTCTTCGCTTTTTGAGAAATGGGACGTTACGTGTCTGAATAAATAAGCGCAGCATTGCAACAGATGTTAACATTACGTTAATGACTTGCACACGAGCCGGAGCCAGTCATCATCTATTTCTATGATAAACAATGCTAATATATAATGTGGGATACTCCCTGGGGATTGCTGCTATCGCAGTAGTGCGAGGCCAAGCACTGAAAGTTGGATGTCATCGGTGGCCTAGGTTGTGCGTAGTTTGGTTGCTCGTTGTTGGGGGGATTTGCGAGTATGTAATTGAATGGAAATGCGTGTGTGTAGGCTGTGAAGGTTTTAATAAATAACTCGCCGTCTTCGTGGACTGAGTTATGCGCCGTTTAAGAGGACTTCTCCGCTGCAAGATGTCCATAGCGTGATGCACTGCCTCGCTGAGATACATTGCGTCTCTATATTACCGCCTACTCTCAATATCCAACCATTCTTCGGGCAATCTCCAGGCATTCCTGCACTCGAGACAGAAAAATCTAATTTCATTCCTTCCTCCTAAACTTTAAATTGAATCCAATTGCATATATAAAGAAAGATTTACATTCTCAACAGGACACTACAATAATAATAGCTGTTATCACCATTTATTTATAACACGCTTATTACTTGTAATATATATATTCCCATTAATATTTATTTCTGGAAAAGCGGGAAATTTAAAATAATTTTTGCCAGAATTCATATAATTTATTATAACTTTTAGATACAAAATTAACTTCTCTTAAATTACATTTTTAAAGCTTTATTAAATGTAAAAGATGAAAATACATATACCAAGTTATTGATGAAAGAGCTATACCAAAGAGAAAGGATCCAATCAAAGT